TCTAACTCTGCCTGTCAAAAAAAATAAAATAAAAATAAGCAGTTTTGTGACTTGAAATAGCTTCTCTTCTATGTGGGTTGTGGCCACTTCTCAGGAGCCTCTCCATTCATTGTTTTATTGTTTCTTTTGTTTTGTTTTATAAGACTAAAGAAGGCATTTCATTTTTGTTTTACTTGGAATTTTAAAATGATCAGTTTCCTGCATTAATATCTTTTGTCTCTGTGGTCTTCTGAGATAACAACAATGTAAGAATGCTATATACTAATTATATGTTAGAGTTGTCAACTTGGTCCATGATTTCTGTTGTAATGTCCCACACTCTTAATAATTCTTTTATCTTGGTTTTGTGTATTCTGTGAGAATTGTACTTTTCTGAACAGGATCTGTTGTTGCCATTAAAAAGTCAAGAGGGTTTGTTGTTTTGTTTTGTTTTGTTTTTTTGCTGTTGCATATAGTACTCACTTTTTTTTTTAACTCTCGAGTTTCTTTCTTTCTTTTTTTAATTCAGTTACTCGAATTGGTGTCCCAAAAAACGTTGTTTGGCAGATTATCAAAAATAAAAATAATTCCGATTTTAATCAATTTAATTGGGAATTGCCGGATTATAAAGTTAAACATTTATGTTAAAATCCTTGTCTTTGATGTTCTGATGTGTGCTGAGTTTCTCCAGGAGAAACATTAAGTTAACAGCTAGTGCTTTCCAAATTTGTTATGAACCCTACTCCCCATACTTTCTGCTACTTCTTGGAGAGTGTTCTCCAGAACATAGTATTGAGAACTGCTGCTTTATTCATTTTGTTATTTATTAACCTGATCAGTCCCTAATGAAAATCAGTCCTTCATGTTAGGAATCATCTTCATGCAAACATATAGCTAGGGTTTCTTGGGCTCCTCTAACAAATTAGCCTGTCTCTCTTTGTCAAAACATGTTACTTACCAATGACCAGATCTGTGGTTGGGGAATAAACAAGGGGTCTAAACTCATGACCAAAGTGGAAATGTCACCAGTGGCTTATAGACTGTGTTTCTGCCTATGACTTCTGTCCTCAGAAGCTAAGGAGATGAGCCAGCTGTAGAACCCTTAGTATGTGGCATACGTGAGCATGATAAGTGGGGTAAAACCCGTTTTCTTATTAGAGAAGTAATCAAGGGAAAGAACATAGACTGGGGTTAAACCTTGCAGAGTTAAAAGCCTGGTTTTGTTGTCATTTTACTTATTTATCTCTGGACACACCTACTTTCTGACTCATTAGTGCTTTTCTTATAAGGTGGACTTTCTAGAAAACTTCTTGGAGGACAGAGGATGCAAATAAAGGTCACATAGTGGGTGAAATGAGGATCTGACCAAAGCTATGGTTCCTCCTCGGAACTGCTTTATTTTTAACTTTATTTATTCAAGAGGCAGAGAGAGAGGAGAGAGACAGACAAACAGAAAAAGAGCTCTCCTCCACTGGTTCACTCCTCAGATGCCTTCAATGGCTGTGGGCTAATCTGAGACAAAGTCCAGTGCTCAATCCAACATTCTCACATGCATGGCAAGACTAAGTATTTGAATTACCACCTGCTGCCTCCAGGGTCTGCATTAGCAGGAAGCTGGAATGAAGAGCTGAGCTGGGACCAGAGGCTACAAATACATGGACCTCCCCATGACTAGGCCACATCCCCACCCTGCATAGAAATCTTTTTTTTTTTTTTTTTTTTTTTTTGGACAGGCAGAGTTAGACAGTGAGAGAGAGAGAGAGAGAAAGGTCTTTCTTCCATTGGTTCACCCCCCAAATGGCTGCTACGGCCGGCACGCTGCATCAATCCGAAGCCAGGAGCCAGGCACTTCTGGTCTCCCATGCGGGTGCAGGGCCCAAGCACTTGGGCCATTCTCCACTGCCTTCCCGGGCCACAGCAGAGAGCTGGACTGGAAGAGGAGCAACCAGGACAGAAACTGGCGCCCAACTGGGACTAGAACCCCGGGGTGCCGGTGCCGCAGGCAGAGGATTAGCCTAGTGAGCCACGGCGCTGGCCAGAAATCTTAAACAGAAGATCCTTCCCTAGGGTTATTTCTCTGTTGATATTTGTTGTATTACTTTTTTTAAAAATTAAAGTTCCTTTTATTTAAAACAAAATCTGGCATGCTAAGAGAGTTGAAACAGCAGAAGAATTTCCCAAGGACTTGAAAATATTTGATTTTTAGAAAAGCAGAAAAATGAGAAGAGACTGCAGATTGTTCTAGTCTGAGAAATTTCAGACTGGGAAAGTGACAACAAAAGAAGTCTGAGGGACAAACTTGGATGCCTGTTGTTCAAGGGCCCACGTGGAGTTCCTTCTGTGCCCCATGCAATCCAGCTCTGCTCTTCAATACAGCTCCTTGCAGCTGGGGAAAGAAAAGAGACACAGATGTAGTATCTTAACAGATAAAAAACTTTGAGATAGAAATGTAAGGAAAAAGTCATTATAACTGGTTAGTGCTCTCATTGCACCAAGGAATAAAGAGAGATTATTTCTCAATGGGGAAGGGAGGATGGCTTCAAAGAAAAGGTGTTTAAACATTTGGTCATGAGATTGTAAGAATCTTAGGATGGTGGAGAACAAGGCAGAAGACCTAAGTACTATGCAGAAAGGAGAGAATTCTACCTGCTGAAATTCACTTGTCCAGACTCCCAGAGTCCAGAAAGGGGTCTAGTACGTTTGGACACCATTAGCCTGAAGTGCCAGGAATTCAGTGTGAAAATGTAGGGTGACATAGGCAGGAAGACGAAAACATAGAGTCTGCAGAAGTAATTTTTGAGGTGAGAGAGGGTATTTATAAAAACATGGCCTGGATTTCCACTTTAGTATTTTAGGTGGAAAAGCCAGAGAGTGATATCATGTTTATATTTTAGTAATTTATATTTTAGGAACATTCTCCGTTAGTATAGACAATGGATGGGTAGAGGATGAAAGTGGGGAACCATTAGGAGGCTGTTAAGAGGGCCTTGCTGGGGCTTCACCAAGTCCTACAGGAAGGCGAGAGCCTTTGGAATGGGTTTAAGAAGTGCCATAAAGATAGAGCTGGAGGCATCTGATAGTCTGATTGGTACAGGGTGGTAAGTAAGTGAAACATGACTTTAGTTTCTTGCTGCCATCCATTGAAAGTACTAAATGGATTTAAGGGAAGAGGAAGAGTTTTGGAGGAAGCCTTGAGTTTGGGGTGTGGTTGCAGAGGAAGTGGATTGAGCCACAACAGAAATACTGAAGAGAAGTTCTGTTTGTGAAATATCCAGCTTATTGGCGCTTCCCTTTTCAGCCTTGCTCCTTTAACTTTCATTCCTAACATAACAGCCACAGTCATTTTTCTCATGGTCAGAACTAGCTACCTTACTCCTCCAGAACCTCTGTGGCTCAATCTTTGACCAACCGTTGCCTTTGCAGTAAAATCCAAACTTCCTGACATGGCCTTTTCCTCCCTGCAGTGTCTGGGCCCCTCTGTTTCTGTGTCCTTCTCGTGGCCACTCTCCAGTCACCTGGTCTCCTTGATGTTCCTTAACACCACACAGAAGTGTTGGCGTGCACTTGGTTGTTTTCTGTCTGCTCCACCGAAGAGGGGAACAGTCTTCTCTTCACTAGGTATCTCCACCTCCAGTTCAGAGGGGCAGATCTTTGCGGATGGAGGAGCCTGATCTGTTGGGTACCTGTCCTGCCCCTCATTCTTCAGTACAGACCTGACTTGAATGACCAGAGACAGGTCAGAAATACAAGTAGGGAATCTATCCCTCTTTTTTTTTTTTATTACAAGAGTACTTCCAACAGTTTGTGGGAAAATGAAATTAAAGTGCTAAGTTTATTATGGTGCCAGAAGCTTTTTGAATTCATGAATAGTTATTCACGATAAGTATTTTCTGTGAGCTTATAAGCTCTCGTTTTCAGGAATCTAACCGTATTCTCAGTGCTGTTTTTCTATAACTCACTAATATTTGAAACAGTACCTAGAAGCTTTCACAGCCTTTCATCTGTCATTGTGCTTGATTTTTACTCGTAAGCCCACTTATGATGTGAGAGCAGATGCCCACTATCAGTTTTAGTGAAAATGATGCCCATTGTCAGGACTGTGTTCTCAACTCATGGAGTCCAAGGAGGCTTCAGTTCCCTGGGGAAGACCCTTGCTGATTTGAACACCCACAGTGCCGAGGAAAGTGCTGAGCAGGTGGACACATATGACACAGCTGATAGGCACCTTGAGTCTGCTCGGGTGGGACAGTCCCAGCTAGCCAGAAGTTGATTTCCTTCACTTTGCTGTTTGTCCCCCCTTTAAAAAGCTACTTAGGGGGTCTCAAAGCGTTGATCCCAATTTCTCTGACTTTTCAGAGAGCCTTTGGACATAGGAAGGGAAGTGTTTTTCCACTGTTAGTTTAGTGGCCTGATCATTGAATCTTTGGCCCATTTTTTAAAAAAGAGTTTTCTGTGCTCTGGCCCTGGCTGTGTTGGGCTGGAAAGTGGAGAGCACATGACTTTAGGATCTGGAAGACCTGGTTTTGAATCCTGGCTGTGAATCTTATAGTTGCCTAATCTAGAGTCCTTCTCAGCTTCAGTTTCCTTGTTGTAAAACATGGGTACTGGAAAGCTCTTCATAAGTGCATAAGGAATAAGTAAATATATACAACACATTGTCATTTTCTTTTTTTTTTTTTTTTTTTTTTTTTTGACAGGCAGAGTGGACAGTGAGAGAGAGAGAGAGAGAGAAAGGTCTTCCTTTAGCCGTTGGTTCACCCTCCAATGGCCGCCGCGGCCGGCGCGCTGCGCTGATCCGATGGCAGGAGCCAGGAGCCAGGTGCTTTTCCTGGTCTCCCATGGGGTGCAGGGCCCAAGCACCTGGGCCATCCTCCACTGCACTCCCTGGCCACAGCAGAGGGCTGGCCTGGAAGAGGGGCAACCGGGACAGAATCCGGCGCCCCGACCGGGACTAGAACCCGGTGTGCCGGCGCCGCTAGGCGGAGGATTAGCCTAGTGAGCCGCGGCGCCAGCCAACACATTGTCATTTTCATCATCATGAGAGAAGGGAGACAAGAATAAGCTAAGAATCTGAGGTCTATTAGGGAAGGGAGGAAAAGAAGCAAACACCTGTCTCGTGCCGGGTGTGAAGAAGACGTTAGCAGTACCATTAGTGTCAGAGACAGTGAGGAACTTGATAGCCACACAATCAGTAAGTGCTAGCCAAGCAATGACAGTAGGGCTGATGGCCTTAAGACCGGTGTTCATGGCCGTGACATCACACTTCACATGATGGGCCTGGCTCCAGCACTGGATTCTGCTTCCAAGACGCAGAAGCCAGACCCTGTAACAAGTGGTAGCGATGGCCAGAACACTGATGATCACTTGGAACAGTCGTTAATCCTGGGGATGACTTAGCATCAGATGGTGTGGGGCCAGCTAGGGTTCTAGTGAGGAGGTGTAGAGAATGAGCTTCCCTGAGAACAGGAGACTGGGCTGTGCCATCAGAGATGAGGTGGGTTCTCTTCATAGAATATAGGGAATGACTGTACTTGTTTGTGGCAACGGGTTTAACTTAAAAGGGTCTTGGAGGGGCTCCGTCTTACTTCCCCCGTTTGCACTGCTAATCCTGACATCAGAGCAGAAGGGGTGGGTTTGGAAGAAGAGAGGTTTGGATACGATGGCCAGCCAGGACCTGTCCCATACTCATCTGGCAGCTCTTTCCTTCTCTGGGCTTGCTTTCCCCATGAATGGATGATGAGTGGGCCTGGAGGGAAGCAGGCCCTTCTCCCTGGGCTGCTTTTGCTTTGTTCAGAGGTAGCATTTCTGAAAGCCTGCCTTTGTAATCCTGAGTGATTAATTGAGGGCGGTATGTTTTGGCCAGATCCAAGGCCTTTACAAAGGAAAACAAAATAGTGTTATTACTGATAGGTCATAGTTGTGACTGACTTTTGAAAGGTAGGATGAGCCTTGGGGACACTCATAGCCACAATGAGCCATGAAGAAATTAAAAAGTGAACATTTCTACATATGGTGCATGCGCGCACGCACACACACACACACACGATGGTGCCGTGTATGCCTTAGGTAAGAGTATTTCCTTCAAGTGATTGGAACAAACAGTGCTGCAAGTGGCACATTACATCTTTGCCGCAGATCTCAACTGTGAAGGAGCTTGTCAAGTGGGCCCGAAGCCTCAGCAATCTAGCATCGGAGATCTTTGCTGTTTTCCAGTCACACTCCATCCCACGCATCATTCAGCTACAGGTGCGGCGGACACTGAGTGTTTCCAATTGAAATCTGAATTCTGGAGACTCTGAATCTCAAGGACATTTTTTTTAACATCTAAAACAGTCCACATAAACAGTCAAACCTTTATTTGTAGGTTACTGATCAACTTTCCATTGTTTGGCTGCGTTATGCAAATCAGGTCTTATTTTAGGGTGATCATTTCCCCTTGTATAGCAACCTCAATCCACTCATATTAATCTTGAAACTAACAAGCAATAACATCTTTCCCCCTTCTTTTCATGTAAGCTATTGCTGCCGTGTCCCTCTCTCTCTGCTCACAGGTATTCTGGGCTGCTCCTTCCTGTCTGAGCCCTCCTGTGACTGCTGGGGTTGTCAGATTGTCACACAGGATGAAGCACCTCATGCTTCAGCTACCCAGATGAACAGAAGAGGGACTGGGCTTCCAGCTCCTGTTTCTGCTCCACTTCTCCCCGCCTTCACTTGTCTTTCATGCTGCTTCTCGGCCTCCAGTGCTTCCTTGCTTGTTCAGAGAATAAGGTAGATTGCTGTGAATGTCATCTCCTCCGTGAGTGCAGGAGTTGAGGATGAGGAGGACCCAGAGAGCTCCTGGCACACAGCAGATACTCTTAGTTCCTTCCTTCTCTTTTTCCCTTTCCCCTTCTTTATGTATTCCTGGGACCCCCATGGAGCTTACTTTGCTTTTCCGAATGTGTGCCTTTTAGACAGGCTACTTTCACTCAGTTTTGTGTCTCCATGGCCTAGCTTATACAACCAGTGTTTAGTAAATGTTGGGTGAATGAACGGGTAGAAAGATAATTCTAGAGGGGAGAAATGATGAGGCGTTATTTGTCAGACTAGTTGTATTTTAATTTCATTTATGGCCACTGCCTCTATCCTATAGAAATGAGGACATAGATCTTCTTGGGATAGAATTCATTGTACCCTCTTGATCATTTCGGATTCTTCCACCTCTTTGGGAATGGGCATTCTTGTTTTAGGTCCGAGAGTCTAGGACATCTCTTCACTAGTGTGGGAGGAGTGGGTGGGAAAATATCCACAATATGCAGGCTGCAGTTTTCCTGACAACCACCCACAGGTCCTCAAATGTCACACACAGTCACAAGAGAAGCATTCGTTCTTTGATCATCCATTGATTTGCTTGTTCAGTCAGTCACTTTTTACTGAGTGCTATAGGGAGCCTGTTATCGTCTACATGTTGTAGCCTTTTAGTCTGAGTCAGAAGGTTGCAACAGGGTGATCTGCCCACCTTGAGTCAGCCCTCCAGCTACATCATTGACTAGCATGGGCCCTTAAAATTAACTTAATCATGTAGGAGCACATCAATGAGATTGTTTCAGAGTATTAACGTTATGTAGGAAGTAAAAGGGTGTGAGAGTGAGTGGTGTTCAGAAAGGCCCTTTCACAGAAATGACATGGGAACTGGATGCTTGCGAAAAAGAAAAGGTGCAAGCCAAGCCCCTTTAAATTTGAGGGGAGGGAGTTTTGAGGAGGGGATTTGAGCAGAGAGACCAACAATTGCAAAAGCTCTAGGGTAGAATAAGCTTTTGGGTCAGAAAGACTGCAGGTGTGCCTGGAGCCTAATGAGCAGTGGAGGGTGTAGGAGCACAGAATAGAGGGCACAGAGCTAGATCACATGGGGCCTTGTGGGCAGCAGCGAGGACCTAGATATTATTCAAGCCATGCATTCATTCATTCTTTGCTTGAGAGACAGACAGATGGACAGACAGAGCACATGAGTACACTGGGCTTTCCTTCAAGTAAGTAAGCTCTTATTATGTGAAGAAACAAGCATTATTATTTTTTTGTATATTATTAGATTACTCCTGTATTGTCCTTACAGTTTTTAATTGACTGAGTAGGGGAAAAGGCCCAGGTGCCTCAACACCTAAAACATAAGATAACGAGTGGATGGTAAGACAAGTGTGGATAAAGCGCTCGGCTACCAAGACTTGATAGTTCATAAATAACTTCTTTTATAGATCATATCAAAAGCAGTACCAGGTTTCCTATTTGCTCTTGCCTCAAAGGATTTTGTTTTGTTTGGTTCTGCTGAGGGGACCTGCAGCCAGTTAAGTATAGGTGATGTAATAGTTGGTTTTCACACTTAGGCCTATGCCTGTTGCAGTTCCTGGCACACTTATGGAATGAATACATGAGTGAGTGATGGGAACACCCAAATTCAGTAATCCACAGAACAAGTAATGTGTGGTTTCCATGTACCACTCCCATTTTTTGAAATCATAGATATTTTTCATTATCATTCCTTCTCCTGGCATGTTTTTAAAACTTTTTAATGTATGTATATTGGTTTGAAAGAAAGAGACAGGTCTTCCATCTACTGATTAACTCCCCAGATGACTATACAGTTAGGGCTGGGCCAGGCTAAAGCCAAAAACCAGAAATTCAACCCAAATCTCCCACGTGGGTGACAGGAACTCAAGTACTTGAATCATTCTTCTGTGGCCTCCATGCGTGCACATCAGCAGAAAGCAGGAATTAGAAGCTGGAATGGAGCTGGGACTGTGATGTGGGTTGAGGACATCCTAAACAGTGTCTTAACTGCTGTGCCACCTCCTGCCTTCCATCTTCTTTATTCTCAACTCTTTGTGATCTCATTGGACTACTGTCTTCATATTAGAATTGTACCCTTGTACATTCTATCACATGGGGCCTTGCAGTGAGTAAATAACTTACTGATTTAGCTGTGAGGTAGCATGACAACGTACATCACTGTTTCATCCTCAAAAGTCTTTATGCGAAAGGTAATTAGGCATCTAGTGTCTCCAGTAGCCTGCACATTGCTCTGCAAACCCTCACCTCAAGATCGCATGATTGCCTAGCAGACAAAGGACTGGAGTAATCATGATCTGAACCAAAATTAGGCCAAAGGAGTCTTCCTTGCCACAAGTCTTAGAAGAACATTTACTTGATGGTGATTGTGGGACATACTGATTTTCGAAATGATCTCTGGATACATCTGAACACAGTAAGTGGAGAAGTTCTCTGTTTTTCCCAGACAAGTAAAAATTCCTTTCATCAAAGCAATCACTTTGGTTTTAGGAGCACTTGTTTTGGAGAGATTTTGCCATCTCTGTTTCAGGAACTTCTCTCTTGGATCCCTTTTAGAGGATAATGATTGGTAGCTGTTTTTGAATATCTGCTCTGAGCAAAGCTTTAGGCAAGCTACTTTTAAGTGCATTAATATGTCAAATGCTCAGAGTGTCCCTGGAAGGTAGGTGTGATTTCTCTCTACCTCACCATATCTCTCAGATATTCTGTGCTATGATTTTATTGTCATGCACTTTCTTTTCTGTAATAAGATTTAACTTCAAAAATGTATGCCCACTTTAAAATACCGAATATACCAAGATAATTTTTCCTACTTCAGTACGTTAAGAAGAAAGTGCTATAGACTTAGAAATTTAAAAATAGAAAATCTTAATGAATGATGGCAGTAGTATTGCCATTGCCCATTTAACATAAGGATATTATTTTCAATAAAATGTTTTTGGAAAATGCCAAGAATAACTATTTTACGATATAAGACTCAATTAAGATGTATAAGTTCTGCCTGTCCTGTTAAACCATTACTATCAACACTGTATGGGCATACGTGTTATATACATATGACTGTACAGATAACATACAAGTTTAAACGCTGGGTATTCAAACATTAGGGAAAGAATTATAGAGGAGGGCCATATTTTCTCTTTTTTTTTTTTAAACAAGTTTTTATTTGATGAATGCATTTTCTCATAGATACAACTTTAGGAATATAGTGGTTCTTTCCCCCATACCCACCCTCCCACCCTAACTCCCATCCCATCTCCCTCTTCATTATGGTTCATTTTTAGTTTGATTTTATATACAAAGGACCAACTCATGTTAAGCATAGATTTCAACAGTTTGCACCCACCCACCCACACACAACATGCAGAGTACAGTCTGGGAACAAGATTTGCAGTCAATTCTCATAGTATAACTCATTAAGGACGGAGGTCCTACATGGTGATTAGTACACAGTGACTTCTGTTGTTCCTTTAACAGTTAACACACTTATTTATGACATCAGGCTGTGGAAGCTTTTTGTGACCATAGACACCATCGGTATTTGGACACGGCCATAAGCAAAGTGGATGTTCTCTCCTCCCTTCAGAGAAGAGTACGTCCTTCTTTGAGGGGCCATATTTTCTGAATGTAAAACTTAATTCAACCATTTTCAAGGAAAATGTTATGTTGGACACTTTGTGGAGCTGATCATACTGAGGAGTTCATTTATTCAGTTATTTGTTGCTTCATTTCATAAACATTTCTGAGCACCTGCTATCTGCCATATTCTGGGAATGGGAATTCAGCTACAAACAGGTTGCAAAAGGCTCCAGCCCTCAGACTTTCCATATGCTAGTGGAGAAAGAGAAATACCATAAAAGAAAACAAGTCATGAACGTGACCATTTCCAGCCATGGTTGTGTTAGGTAAAATTAGCATGAAGTATATTCCAGAGTAACCCTTGGGTCTGCTGAGGTTGTGGACTGCTTTATGGTGTCCAAAGAAGGCCTCAGAAGGAAGAGCTTTTGTTCTAAAGCCTGTGTAAGAAGAAAATACTAGTCATTTGAAGACAAAGGAGAGAGTTTCAGGCAGAGGAATCAGTTAGTGCTGATGCCCTGAGCTAAGGGACAAGTGTGGCTAGGTTCATGGGTGGTTCTGGGAACGTGTGTTGTTACACTCTGCTGTGACCAAGGAATCCCACGCAGCTTGGTAGCGGGAGGGATTGGAAGGTCTCATGTGCCCTCAGGCCTTTCAGAATTTCTCATTTTTATGCCCAATTCGAATAATTTTTCTGAATCCTTTTGGTTGCCAGCTCCCACATAATACTTTTGTCACAATGGCTTCTCTGCAGCCTCTTCTGAATCTTTAGAAGCCTAAATCTTCTCTGTACTTGGAATTCAAATAACCAAACTTGCTCAGACTAGATATGAAATAAAAGAAAAAAATCTCCATATAGGTTGAAAGTGCTGCTCTCCTAGATTAATGCCTTGCCTTTTCACTGTGCAGAAAATGTGAAGTTGCTGTATTGCAAAATTTTAGATAGATAAGGCCTTAGTCTCTTATTAAAAACGAGCATGTGTTCCTGTATTCGTTCATTCTTTGCCTGTCCATCCTTTTTGAGTGGCTTCATTCCAAATGCACCCTTAGAAATGAAGACGTATACGTTATCAGACTTAATGGTTTGAGAGATACAAGTTTTCTGGCTCATATGTCTGCCATCTCTCTTTAGTCCTGATTTGACTTTACGTATGTGACATTTCAGAGGATGTGACTGCAATTACTTGTCTGGCAGTTGAAGGAGTGGCTCTTGGTGGCACATTGAGATGTATTATATCTAGAGGGAGCTTAGCTGATTGAAGGACAGTATCCCCCAGCTCTCTAAATCACGGGGCTCTTAAAAGTGAGTTTTGTTTGACTTCTTTTTGCCAGTGGCCAAAAAGCAGTGCTTAAAAGAAGTGTCACCCAGATTTCACTGTGACTGCAGCTGTCAAGTTGGAATGTTCTTAATATCCTCTAAAAGTAACTATGTGGCCTTTATGCCCTATCAGTTCATAGATGAGTCGGTAAAACATTGACTATAAATTCTGAGACTTTACCACCTACACCCTAAGGAAGTACATAGATGGTCTCATGAAGTATTACAGCTGAAATCCTCCACGCCACTTTGCTGATTCAGAGTCATTGTCTTCACATGCATATAGACATTAAAGCCTACTTGTTAATCTCCTTTCTGAGTGCACTCATGTGGTCATTGCCTTCTGAAACTCACATTCATGAGAGAAGTGTTAAGTCAAACCTTCTTGGATGCTTTCTAGATCATACTAAGCATTTATTAAGTATTACTTTTCTCTAAAGTACAACTCTTAAATCTCTGCAATAACCTGAATTTTGTCTCTCTCCTGAAACTGTCTTGTAAAACATTTCCTTGAGCTTACATGGTGTGCAGTATAACTGGTGTGCAAGGTGCTTGAGGTACTAAACAGATGAGCATTTTCCCTAGAAGTTTGAGATACAAAATCATTTCCAGGGTATTTTCTATTAATGGTGAGTAGTCCTGGGTTTTTATTTCTTGTCTCTACAACAGTTTTAAACAAAACAAAAAGACATAAGTGAATTTAAAAAAAACTGAATTAACAGAAGTTCAAATGAGCTGCAACTGTGACAAAACGTTGGGGAGCTGGAATATAAATGACAGGCACGGTAGATGTAGAGTTAGACTTGGAGTCTTAAAACCCTAGTTTTCATCCCAGCATCCCAGTAGTGAAAGCTTAGGCTTTGAGATTCAGTAGACAGTAGTATAAAATTCAACTTTAGTACTTTCGGGCTCTGTGACCATAGACAAGTTGTTTAATCTTTGACTTGCTCCCTTTCTACAATCATTCGTTGGAGTCCCACCAAGTTTCCTTATCTGAAAAATGGAAATGATGCTTCTTAAGGTTTTTGTAAAGATGTAAACATAAATAGATAATTGAAAGCAAATTATTTCATATAATTTGGTATGTCTCATATCACAAGCATTATGCCTGGCTTGTAATAAGTGCTCAGGAAATTTTAGTTCTTATGTTACTTAGCATTTGTAGTTGCAAGGAACAGAATGTCTGCTTCAACTGGCTTGCGGGAGAAGGAATTTATTGTCTGAGTCCTCTGCCTGCAGGAAGGTTAGCAGTGATGAATGCGTTGGGACAGCTGGAAACAGGACACTCTTTTGTCTTTGGTACATTGTGTCTGTTAATGTCATTCTGTCTGGCCAGATTCCTCCATGGATCTGTAAGTAGAACTGCGGTGGTTCCAGGCTGACCTCACAAAGATACCGAGCACTGAGATCTCTGTTCTCCAGTCCGGAAATCCTAGGAAAGGCCTCTGAGCCCAGTGTGGGTCAAGCGTCCACCCCACCAGCCATTGGTGTCTAGAGAACAGGACTTGAAGGAAAATGCAATTAAGTCTGTGTTAGAAGGGCAGGAATGACCATTTTCCAGAAGAGTAATAGCAGTCTTTGCATTTACCCTTTTCTACTCTGTGTGATCTCCAGGAGGGTACTTCATTAACCTCCGCAGACTTCAGTTTCCTAAAGTTCTGAGGTTTAGATGATGTTCTGGATGTGAATGTATATTTAAAGGGTTTTAAAATTTATTTGTTCTGAAAAGAAAAGACAGAAATCTTCCATCCACTGGTTTATTCTCCAGATGCCCACACAGCCAGGGCAGTGCAAGGTCAAAACCTGGAGCCCAGAAATCAGTCTAGGTCTCCCATATGGGAGGCAGGAACCCAACAAATGAGCCATTACCTGATGTCTCTAGGGTCTGCGTTACCAGGAACCTGGCATTGAGAGTAGAGCTGGGACTCAACCCCAAGCACCCCAATATGTGATGTAGGAGTCCCAAGCAGCATCTTAGCCAATGCACCAAACACCTGCTCCAATCTAATGATTCGGAAACTTTATGTATACAAGGTTTTCATTGTTGCTAACTGTATTGTTCCTGCCCTCCAAGTCTTGACCCAGCATCTAGGAATTCCCAGCCTGTGAACCCCAGAACTTCTGGAAGCAGAGGGAGGCTTGAAGCTATTTTAAGAATTTAGTTCCATGTGCCATTTGCATGGTGGGGGAACTTCACAAAGTTCATGGAAAAAATGAAATTAAAAGATAAGTTTATTTGAACACAAAAAACTTGGAAACCTATTCAGTTTTATCATAATACAAATTTTTTGACCCCTTATATACTGACAATTCCCCTTCTTAAACTTACTTTTGAAGTATAACACAGCGGACAATCCCTATGCTGAGTGCATAGCTTTTAACAAACAGAATTTTAACAAACATAATTGTCTACCTACCTCCCGACTTAAGTATCAACACCAATAAATATATTAGTGTTGCACCCTAGAGTAGTGCAAGTAGGTGAGTGCAGCTATTTAGATGAATTGTAAAGAAATCATTTAAAAGCATTATCAGCGTCCTAGTAGCATTTTCCATACTGCATTCATTAGTAAATAAAAGTTTTAATAAATTGCCATGTGTCATAGTTAATTTTCCTTAACAGAAAAAGAAATCATCAAATTTGAAAGTGTTGTGAAAAGCACTTAAGGTCATTTCTAACTTATTCCATCCCTTCAAAAAGAAAAATCTTTTTTTTTTTTTCTGGTTGAAATTGCCATTAGGTGAAGTGATAATGTTTTTTCCCTGGCTCTTGTGCCGTTCGTGTCCTAGGCTTGCCTTTCTGCCTTACCAGGTTGCAAACTCACAACAGAAGCAAACGAGTCTCAGGATTCATAGATGCTTTATGTTTTCTGTTCATAGCTTAGCGTGGTAACTGACTGGCCTCCCGTGTTTTCCATCTCACACAATGCTGAGTTTTGTGAAATGACTGCTTATTATTTATCCTGAAAACGTAATTACGGAAATCTTTGGTACTTCCAGTCTCTGAAATTGTTGATTTTTAATAAATGTCAGTTTGTCATTGCTTTGGTGCTCAGCAAAACAACCGTAGTTATTATAGAGGAGTTTCTCTTGTTGCTTGTTTAATTTACCAGATTTGCCACCATCTTTCTTCCCTGTTTTTCTTTTTTAGGCTTTAGACCAAGATAGAACAGCCCTGCAGAAAGTGAAGAAGTCTGTAAAAGCAATATATAATTCTGGACAAGGTAAGCACTTAACAAATCAGATAACATGAATTATAAATAAAGTCTATAGAGTTTTCTTTGTTATATGTAAGATGTTAAATTTATAGATAACTTGATGCAATTGTAAGAGTAAGTAGTTCAAAGAAATTGAGATATTTGTCCCTTTTGTGTTTCTCCTATCAGCCCAAAGTAAAATGAAGACATTAGTTGTTGAGAATTTTATTGTACATTTAAGAACTTAATTTTCTCACATGGTATATGAAATACTTAAAGGCTCTTTGGGTAGTTGATCTTCCTATAATTCAGTGGCCTCAGTTAAATGGATAAGAATCTTTTCCTTCTCGAATGTACCTGTACACATTTGAAAATCAGTATTGGCAACGAGCACAGAGTGAACACTCAGACAGAGTGAGGTTAAATTTGGACCTTCACAAACCTGTCCCCTATCCTCTTTTATCCAAAGAGATCACCTGATTCACTAGATGTTTAGTTTCAGTCTAGCGACTGTCAACTCGGAGACAAGAGAATGTTGTGAGTGAACAAGCAGAAGCAAACCAAAGTAAGAAAAACAGTGGGTAACCACCAGAATGCTAGGTTCCAGCGCCAAGGGGAGGAGAGGCCTGGAAACATAAGTGACTCTCAAGGTCAATGAGGTCACACCTACCCAGAGGTTACTTCCCTAAGAAGTCAGTCTTCTGTAACCTCACAGAAAACCTGCGGGGAGAAGGTCGCAGGCTTAATGGAAAGAAAGGGCTCAAGCTTTCAAGTTGGACAGCTGGGGACTTTGTCCTTGCTAACCCACTTGCTAGCAAGGTGACTGTGAGCTGATGAGCTCACTGTCTTGAACCTCTGTTTTTCTCATCTGTAAAATGGAGTAGTGGCATTACAGAGATGCTGAGAAGATGTAATGTGTCCTTAAAGAGTATGACCAATCATGGGAACTCAGTAAAATGCTGGTTATCATAAAATTACAGAGCCAAAAGGAACTTGAGCAAGGCAGAACTCAACTCTCGGATACCTTATGGCCCTCCCCTCGTCAGAGCTGAGAACCACTAGCTAACCATACTAGCAGTGGAAACCTTATTAGTAGCCTCTTCTCTAATACCTCTGCACATCGACACTTACCTCATGCTGATTTTTGACACCTCTTTCACCCTGGGTGTTGTACCACTCCCTAATTTCCTTACATCCAATAAAATTCTAACATCTAACTAAGATAAATGATAGTTTTCTGGTTATATGGTGACCAAAAGTTCTAAAGCCTGGCTTAAATTACATACCTAATTTATCAGATCTGTTCCTTTGCTTCGTTTTAATGAACTCCCTTAATGTGATAGCTCCTTTATAGATTTTGATTCTTTGGGAGGCAAGACGAGGAAATGCCACAAGGAGGGCTCCTGAGGTACTGATGTTGTCCTGTTTCTTGATTTTGTTGGTGGTTCCTGGTTAAGTGCACTTTTTGATAATTCATTCAAAGCCACACTTAGGGTGTATGCATTTCCCATAGTTCTTTGTGTTATGCATCAGTAAAAACATGTAAAAACATGTATATAGAAGGAGGGTCACTGGAACCTTTGTTGTGATTTGGAAAAACAGAAAGTAAATGGAAGCTGTTAAACAATTTTAATAAGATGCAATAAACCACTTAGAAAGGGAAACTTGGTAGTATGGATCTGACTTTGAATCCCAGTTTTGTCATACATGTTAAAGTCAGGTAAGTTATTTAGCTTACATGAGTCTTAAATGCATCATCATAGAGTAAGAAAATAATGTCTAATTTGCAGTGTATAGTGTGGACAAAGTGAGAGAACATGCAAGGTCCTTAATAGGTTGCTGGTCACATGATAGCTGCTTAGCAAATGCTAGGTGAGAAAAAAATTTCAGCTAGATCGGTAGCATGAGTACTTTCTCTGTTTTAGTCCATGACTCTACAAATAACCCTGGACCAGTCTTATTTTAACAAAGGGCTTGTTAATGGCTTGAGACAATGGCTTGAGCCATTATCTCCCTCAGGAACAACTGGAATCTCCATAATGTGGTAGCTCATGATTGAGGCTCTCAGCTTATGAGCCACAGAAAGGAGACTCTTGCTTCACAGCCTTCAGGTGCTACTGTATTGACTACGCTGAGGACTCTATGTGACTTATCCACGTATCTTAGCTCCAGGTGCATTCTCTCCCTTGGTCACAGTGACCACATCAATCAGCAGCTCATGTGGAGGTTCTTACTTGGGGATATGTTTGCTCTTGTTCTTGAAGGGTTTCCTTGGTCATAACTGCTCAGGATATAAGAGGAGGGAGAAGTAGTCCCTGCCTGGTTGTAAGGAGGAGCATTCAAGGGGTGCATGCAGAATGTGGGTGCCGTCTGCCCCACTGAATTATTGTGCATGGGGGCCACAGCCCACTGAGTTTTGAATCTGCTGACCCTTGTTTAAGAGCCCTCCTGTGTGCCTCCTTCTAAGTCTGCATATTCATTATAGTAACCTCTAGGAACATTGGTTTTGTAAATTGAAAATGCAATCAAATAATATTTAAAATTTGTTTCCTCAGTCTCAGTAGCTACACTTCAAGGGCTCAAGAGGCACATGTAACTATGTCAAATGTGCTTGTTTTATTCCAAGTTGCATTTGACATATTGTCCATATTGGACAGTGCAGGCAAAGAACACTTTCCATCACTGGAGAGTCCTTTTGGATAGTGTTACCACAGGACACAGATCCTGTGACTGCTGTCCATCTGTTTTGTTAGACCAGTGAGCCTCACCCCTGGCTGCTCATTAGAATCACCCAAAGAAGTCCTAAGGAACAAAAACACATCCCTCAGGCCCACAGCCCTAGAGTTGCTCCAGAATAAGACCCAAGTACTAAGATTGAAAAAAAAAAGAAAGAAAAATTACTCTTCTGGTGATTCTGACTTGCAGTCAGATTTGATGTCTGCTGCACTGGTCTGTGCACTCCCTGAGCAGGGCGGGGATTGTGCCTTTCATCTTTGCATTTGTCAACATAGTTTGCATGTCCAAAGATATTTATTGAGTATATGTAATGCACTACTATTCTGGGTGTTCAATGTAGGGACAAATCAGCCAGTCTCTTCCTTGATGAATTTTGCAGTCCAGTGAGAGAGATAGATGTTAACCAGATCATTGAACTGAAAGTATATATGGAGCCAGCACTGTGGCTTAGTGGTGGAGCCACTGCCTGCAGTACTGGCATCCCATGTGAGCGTTGATTCTGGTCCTGGCTGCACTACTTCCGTTCCGGCTCTATGCTGTGGCCTGGGAAAGCGATACAAGATGGCCCAGGTCTTTGGGCCCCTGCGCCTGTGTGGGGAACCTGGAGGAGGCTTCTGGCTCCTGGCTTCCGATCGGCTCAACTCTGGCCATTTTGGCCATCTGGGGAGTGGGCCAGCAGATGGAGGATCTCTCTCTCTCTCTCTCTCTCTCTCTTTCTTTGCGCCTCTCCTCTCTGTGTGTGACTCTTTCAAATAAATAAATAAATCTTCAAAAAAAAAAAGTATATATGATTAGCAACTAGGAAATTAGGAGGGTGCCCAGGGAATGGGTGGAAATGGCATTCATGTGGGTATTAAGGATGTACCAAAGGTCAAACAAGCCTGAGGTAAGTGCCCTTAGACTTCTTTCACAGATTATGAAGGCCTAGAAAGCTGCACTAGCTGTCCACATGCCACATCTAGCAAGTTATGGAAAGACAGCCCAGCTGGCCTAGCTTTGCTCTTTGTAGCTCTCTGCCTTGTCTTACACCTGACTCATGGCAGGGACTCTTAACACTTGCTAACTGCATAGCTGCTATGTAGCGCTTGGATGGGTCCCTCCCTGGGAAGCTTTCTGAGAATGGCTGCTTCATATTCACTTATCACAAATATCCATGAATGAATCCATCAAATGTAAGCTCCCAGCAGTATAATCCATGGGATGGCTTTGGTGGTTCCCAGAGAGGGACCACAGAAGTAATGATTCCCGTGGTGTGGGAATGTGGGATAACACAGATCCTTCTTGGCTCCTCACAGGCTGCTGGAACCTGGCAGGGCTTCTGCATTCACAGATGAGTATAGTACACCCGTGCTTGTGGTCAGCTTGTGTGGGCTGCACCGTGACATTTAATTCCTGAAAAAGCGCTAGATGAGTACAACAGTAGGGTGCGTGTCTTTCCATGATAAATGTTCAGTGGAATCCAGTCTCTTCCTGTCCAAGGGCTTCTGACCTCCTCCAGAACAACCACAAGATGCTGAGTCCTGGTGTTTTTTCGCCAATGTGTTTTCATGATTTTCTTGTTTTCTCACAGTGCTTCAAGTGACACAATATCCTTGTAATGTTCTTTAAAGATTTAGGAAGCATTTCTATATTTCTGGTTGGCAATGACCAACCACCCACCTTCCCAAAGTGATTTAAAATATGTGAAAGATCTTACTCTTAAAATGTATAATTTTTACACATAAGCCTCTATCAGTATTGACTAGTAAAGTGTAATAATAAAGGATTTTTTTTTTTTTTTTTTTTTTTTTTGGTGGGAGGGGAAGATCTCCATGCAGACCCATTAGTTTGAAAATTGCTTTGGGCATTGGTCTCACTTCTCTCTGCAGTGTATGAAGACATTTAAACAAGCAAAATTCTCCCCCTCTCATTTTTCCTAGTATATGTTTAAAATAGCTAATAGTTTGTTGAGCACTGTGAAGGTTTTAAGATACATTGTAATTCTTTGGCTTTTTTTTTTTCCTTCCAAATATGGAGCCTAATTCCTTTCCCCTTTAACTGTGCACCAGACTTAGTATCTCCCCTCTGATTAATAGATTGTAATAGAAGTGATGTTGGGTAGTTTCCAAGGCCATTTCAGAAAGAAATAACTTCTACCTGCTCTCTCTTCTTTTACAAAATTATTTATTTATTATGTATTTATTTACTTATTTGAAAGGCAGAGTTACACAGAGAGAGAGGAAGGGATAGAGAGAGATTGTCCATGCACTGGTTCACTCCCTAGTGGGTGCCATGGTCAGGGCAGAGCCAGG